TTTGCAGAAGAATTTTCCAAGTAGCTCAATACCATGTTGTACCACCATCAAGCTTAACCAATTTTGTAAGAAGCTTCTTAGTTTGTAATTGGTTGGACTGATCAGACGTAAATTTAATACTCACAAAACTGAATACTGAGAATTAGCTGTGTAGAAGGAATTTTAACACATCTGAGCTCAAGAAGACTCAGTCCTTTGTAAATCAAAGGGCTTTAAATGTTTTCAGATCCAAGTGCACAATTCCCTTAATCCACAAGTGCCTGTATAAAAGATGCATCGGAATAGCCGCCTTGCAGAAACCAGTGAGAGGCAAAACAAGCCAGCCCAATAAGTGATATCACCGTGTTGTCTCAACATTGTTTATACATTGTACTCAATAAACTAATACAAAGATCAAAATCACTCAAAGATTTTAACTGCTCGGGCTCATTAATTTTCTTTTCCTTGTGAAAGTCTGTGTATGGCAAAGAAATCTGTATTAAAATCAATGCTAGAACATAAAAAATCCAAACTGCCATCTTTAACTTGTTTATTCTTTTTTCATCAGCAGAGCACTTCCCATGAGCTCCACGAGTTCACATATCTCATGAAATTTAAACTACAAACAGCTAAGATTCTTGGGAGAAAATTTTTAAGTCCAAATATTTTTTATTATTTCAATTAATGGCATGCACATTTCAGAGATTAATGAAAGGGATAAAGAAGTTTATCTTTCACCAGCTATTCTTTGCAGCCTGAACTAGCTGCAGGAGATGACTAGAACTGACAAATGGCTGCGATAGTTTGAATATGTACCAGGCAAGATTTATCAGTTGTAAAATATCCAGACGCTGGAGAGCTGTGACATGCTGGTCTCGGAAGGTTGTTGTGTGCTTTCTGTCTGCAGCTGTGAGTAATGACAAAATCCTGTGCCAAGCGTTTGCCCATCAGGAATTTAAGGAAAAGAAATTAGCAAAGCCTAAGCTATCACATAAAAGAGGCATAAAAAGTCACATAAAACTGAAAGGTAGACTGAAATCAAGTCCTGCTGGTTTTATAATACTAATGACTGTTCTCTAAAAAAGAGTAATGTTGGAGGGATGATAAGCAAAGAAAAGCTGGTATCATGGCAAAGAGTTTTCCTCCTGCATTTGTAACCAGCTCACAGAGGAAGATGGTTTCAGCGAGCTGAGGGTTTCTCTGGGGAGCTGTTGTTTTTGCTCATTCTGGCACCCTGGCGTGACCGTTTGCCAGATTTAGGGTGCAGAACTCCCAGTGCCTGAAATCAGAGCATTAAAGCTTGTGTGTGCCGTTGTTGGCGCCACTGGCTAGCCCTGCTAGCTGTGGCTACAGCACATTTTGAGCTTGAGCCCAAACTCATTCACTCCTCTAAGTGCCGTGGTGCCCAGCACTACCCTTCGCTTTGGGGTAAGGGGCTTCCCCTATAAGACCAGGAGGGAGGAACCAGAGTCAGAAGTGAGTCCTGCTTCTCACATTCATCATTCTATTGCTGTTGGCTTTCTCATTCCACCAGTGAAGATTATTTTTCTTCAGACGTGAGGGTGAATTACCTGACCACGGCACCCAATGTCACGCTCTTCTGTCATCATTTCAGAGGGATGTCTGAAGTGTGACTTGAGATAGTCCTAGGGCACCCAGCTTGTGCACCTCTGGAAGGAAAGAAATCCTAATAACAAGGAGATGAGCAATAAAAATAGACAGGTGATCACTGGCAGCCCCAGATCTTTCCAACATCCATGATCTTGTTTATTTTTTTTTTTTTAAACAGCTGGACCGGATAATTATTCATCAGCAGGTGGAGCTTCTTGAAGGTATGGCGCAATCCTTGTCGCTCTTAAACAGTGCTGGTACACAGATGTCTCCAAAAGGCTTCCAAGTCTTGCCCTCACCTTGTTAAAGTCATTAAAGTCAGCGAAGCCTCCTGCTGACCTTGCATCAGGCCCATAATGTGGTGTTAGCGTGGTGAAAGCTTGATTTCTTTACGCCTGTTCTGCAGCAAACCAATGAGGAGAAAAAAATTACAGTGAGTAATCTCTACACCAGTCCTAAAGTCTTTCCCTCAGACACCTCTCCCTCAAAGTTATTAAAGTTTAACCATCTTTCCAATCCATGGAAAGATGTGTTGTGTTTAGCAATAATTAACATGCTGCGAGAAACAAAGCAAATAAAGGAAGGAAGGTCAGAAGGCACAAAATGAAGCATAATAGTTTCTATTTACATAGTTCCTCAGAATTTCAAAGTACTGAACAAGTATTAAATTCTGCAAGTAAAATATTTTTTATTGTATTTCTTTCATTCAAAATGTTGTTGGCCTTGATTCTTGGACATCTCGCTGAGTGAAAGTTTTGTCATTGGAGTGGGGCAGCCTCATGTTACTTTTCACAGGTGATAAAGCACGAAAAAGCCTAAACCAAAACTCAGGATCTGAATTCTGTTTTGTGATATGTAATTGAGCGTACAGCAAATCAGTCTTAGAACTAAATCTTCCTTCAAAATACAGACCTGATATTACTATTTCCTTATAATGGTATATTATCTTTGTGTCGTTTCAAAACAATTTTTTAAACATTCTCTGTTCCAAAGATTTTTAGAATATATACTATAGAGTAGACTGGAACTATAAACTTGTATGCAAAGCTGAATTTGGTGAGTCTTGGTAAAGGCTAACTCTAATTCTAACGTTATACTAAGGTAATGTACTACTTGTTTTGCTTTATTAGCCATACTTGGCACAGAGACCTCCAGCAAATATGAGATAAAAAACCATTTGGGACAAAGAGTTTACTTTGCAGTGGAAGAAAATGGTTGCTTTGATCGTAACTTGTGTTCGCCTATAAGGTCCTTCACCATAAGGATTGCTGATAACACGGGCCGAGAAGTGATTACAGTGAACAGACCTTTGAGATGCAACAGCTGCTGGTTCCCCTGCTTCCTTCAAGAGGTGGGTGAATCCTATTTGCCTTTTGCCTGAGCATCTCGCTGTAGGTGCGCAGCATTAATGAAGCCTCGTGCTACCTCTGTGAGAATGGCAGGAAGGAATTTACACCCACCTCTCAGCCTGGGGGACTGGGTGGAAGCTGTCATTTAAAACTAACTATTGATAAACAAGGCCCCTTTACGAGTTAGATTCCCAGCTTGCCTCCTACCTCTCATGGGACATTCCTTGCTGACATCCCAAATAAAGGCTCTGTATCTAATGATACAGATGTCTCCCCAGTTAGGGAACACCCTAAAACAGTGTTTGCCCTGACACAGACTAGAGCTTGTTAGTGCTACAGATGGAAATCACCCGCTGTACTCCCAGAGTGCGGAGGATGGAAAATCCCTGGGAGCCACGAGGGCATGGGGGCGACTGGGGAGCGGCTCTCCGAGGAGGTCGGTGCTTCGTTCCATGGCTCTGCCTCTTCAAGGCCATATATCTCTGGGAAATTGCAGAACTTGGAAATAAGCTGCTTTGAGTGAAAAATGAAGATGGTGCAGAGTATCAGATCTCTTCTCCTCATTTTTGACTTTCCTTTATTCAGACATCTTTCTTGTTTTACAAAAATGTTTTATAGGTTAACTCATCTACCTACTTTCTCAGTACTGCATCGGGATTTAAAAAAAAAGGGGTACTTTGATAGCACAGCTGCTGTATAAAAAAGCTTATAGGATGCTCCCTGATCACAATAACAAAAACTTTTCGCAGCATATGGTTTTTATCAAATCTTGTATGTAAGTTGTCAGCTTCTGGTGCAGCTTTTGAGCTTCATATTGTCCACTATATTTGAAGACAGCATTAGACAGCCTTGTAATATCCAGTTCAGACTTTGGCAAAATTATATATAATTATATTCAATAAATAAATATTATGTCACTATATAAACACTATTATGGACAAATATGCTAACATAAAAGTAGTTTATAACATTTTTTTGTTTTCTTTTGTTTGCTAGTTAGAAGTTCAGTCCCCACCAGGTACAATAGCTGGGTACGTTGTACAGAACTGGGACCCTTTTCTGCCAAAGTTTACTATACAGAATGAAAGTAAAGAAGATGTACTAAAAATAATTGGCCCATACGCAACTTGTGGCTGTTTTGAAGATGTTGACTTTGAGGTACGTTTCTTATGAGTGTTAAGAATTTTAAAGTTTTACTACTTTGAATAAATGTCTCACTCAAAACCCATGTTATTCTACCCTTAAAAATATTATGTACTTTGCTTATAATTATGGAACAGAAGTACAACAATGTGCATTGGAGTTCCTAACTTGTACCTCAGATTCCTGCAGATGTTTTCTGGACAGGAGGGACAATTCCTTCAAGGAAACAAACATGTTGCTAAGTGAAGTCCTGGTCCTCTGCAGTCCATGAGCACTCAGCCATTGATTTTTGATAGGCTCACGGTTTCATCACACACGTATTCACTGTTCCTTGAAGCCTGTGGCACTGAATCTGCTGCTGTCATTACTCTCAGACTGAGATCAGCAGGCAGGATTAGTGTCCAACATGTCTACATCCATTTGACAACATTAATCAGGAGAAAAATAATTCTGAGGAGCCATTGAGATATTTAAGGGATGAGAGGGAGAATGGGAGATGCTTGAAGAAACCCTGGACAGAGTTTTCTGATGTGAACAAAGCACTTTGTCTTAGTTAAGGAATCATAGAAGAGCTTCCGTGTTGGTCAACTCATTAGCCAAATCAGGAGACTTTAGTGGGTTCTGTCTGAAATGTCAGTGTACTGTGGGAAATACGCAGGTGGCTACATAACTGGGGACATATCTGCCAGTTGTAGGGCACAGTGGTCCACAGCACTGCTGTGACTTGGAGCCTATCAGAAACACAAGACAGGAAAAAAAAATTCATTGTTAAAGAAGAGCAAAAGTGGTATAAACTTTCACAATAGCTTTCCTCCACTTTTCTGTCAGCTCTAAAGATGCTGATGTTTCCAAACTTGAGACCTTTCTTGTGTGCCACTCCTAAAGGCAAATCTGACACTAATAGAGCATCTCAATGGTAAGAATAAAAGAACCACCTGACAACTATAGCATACTCTGCATGTCGAGGCACAGTCATTAATTCTGTGGAGATATAATCAGTGTGTATTTGACTTATTTACATTTATGCGTACTCCTATTTTTTTATTTGTGCAGGTAAAAGCTCTCAATGAGATGTCAACAATTGGCAAAATTTCCAAGTACTGGTCTGGATTTGTAAACAACGTCTTTACCAACACAGCCAACTTTGGGATCCAGGTCCCTGTAGATCTTGATGTGAGAATCAAGGCAGTAATGATTGGTGCTTGTTTCCTCATTGTAAGTATGCAAAGCCAAGAGGTAGACCTATAGAGGTGGGCAGATTGGGACCAAAGGGGCCTTTGCTATCAGCTGTGGTCCTATAACGGCATAAGCACAGTGGAAAGCCAAACCTGCTACCTAAAGGATAAATTAACTGAAGTCCTTTTAATTTTTATGCCTGCTTTTGTTTTTTTTCTTATTTACTGAGCATCTTTAGGTTCCCAGTATTTTTGTTTATTAAACTGTTTCGATAGTATTCCACATGTAATTCAATATCTTACATAGCAGTCTCAAATATGTCAAACGTAGCAGACTCCCCCAAACCCCTTATCTGTTGGGTTTGAATGGGTATATGAACCAATACAAAAGTTATGTTATTCTAACGGTAATTTCAAATGGTGAGCGCCACTTCAATAGTTGTGCCAACTGTTGTATGTAAGACAACATACATTTTTCTAGAGAAAAGAAGATTGAGGGGGGATCTTATTAATACATACAAATACTTAATGGGAGGATGCCAGGGGGATGGGAGTAGTCTTTTTTCAGTGGCGCCCAGTGATAGGACGAGGGGTAATGGGCATAAACTTGAACATAGGAAGTTCCATCTTAACATGAGAAGGAACTTCTTTACTTTGAGGGTAGTGGAGCACTGGCACAGGCTGCCCAGAGAGGTGGTGGAGTCTCCCACTCTGGACATTCAAAACCCGCCTGGACGCTGTCCTGTGTAACGTGCTGTAGGTGACCCTGCTCTGGCAGGAGGGTTGGACTAGATGATCTCCAGAGGTCCCTTCCAACCCTAACAATTCTGTGAATTCTGTGAATTCTGTGAATTCTGTGACTGTCAGGTCATGTGAAATTTCCTACAAAAATTCCCTCGTGAAGATAATCACAAGAGAACAAGTATATGAAAAGGAGAATACTCACCTTTAGGGGTAAGGGTGAAGTTAAGATGCATGTTTTCTAGAATTATCGATTGATATTTGCTTGAACTTTTGCCAACACTAATGTGTTAATATTAAGATTCAATGGTTTCAAAATCATCTGTGATACTTACATCAGAGAATACAAACCAAAAGGACAAAACTGTTTAAATTATTCACTGGAAGGCGTTTGCTTTAAAATAGCAACAACAATTCAGATGCTCTGCTTTTATTAGGTCAGAAATGTAACTCATAACACTTAAGATTTTTGGGTTGTGTCCTCCAAAACTCCTGTTCCTCAGTGGCAGAGTATTCGAAAACCATTGACTAATCTAATTACTTTATGTAAAAAAAGCCTACGAGTAAGCCTTTTGATAGTAATTGTTGCATTTTTGTACCCTCCTTACCGTTCACAGTTTGTTTATTTGTAGGATTTAATGTTCTTTGAAAACTCTTTGGATGGATTATAACAAGATGACAGAAACAATAAAGTATGCAGAATGTGTTTCAGTAAGTAAAAATGAAAATAAATTGATCTTCTTGCTTTGAAGACTTACATGTTAGATACTTTCTAATTCTTTTTCATTTTCTTCCAGAAATCCCTTGAGCTTTGGACATGATTTTGAACTGCACAAATCCTTGTTCCTTATAGGAAAAGAAAGGGAGCTAATGATGATGTTTATTAAAATATGTCTCATGTAAATAATAATTTCCCACTTACGTTTTATGTGCGTTGTAGCTAAACACATACTTTTCACGCAGAGCACTGTTGCTTTGGAACAGAGCTATTCTCTTCCTTCTCTTTTGATGTTCCTGCATGGGAAATCATGAAAGATTAGATGAAGGCTTGCAGCGTCACTGATGAAAGTCTATGTTTAGAGAAGCTTTTGATGTTTTGCAAGTGCTGGTACCAGTTACTAACCACATGAGGGTGTGTTCTGGGGGTTTTGCTTTTTCATAATTTTAGAAGTAATTTTCAGATTTGTTATTTAATTAATAGTAACAAACTGAGATGGAAAGTAACAAATATAAAGACATCACCCGATGGGAAGTTCAAGATGTTATCTATTTCAGTGAGTTGAAATAAGGGAAGTGGTGTTTGCTAGTAAATTAATTTCATGGCAAAGATTTGTTTAATGCATGGCAGCTGGAAATTAGGCTTCCAGTACTAGACTTGGGAATGCAAGCTCTGTTCAGAAAATCTGGTCTTCCACTGATTTTTTTGAACGCAGGCCATAAGGTTTGAGAGATGGTCCTCTATGGTGCTAGAGGCGCACAAATCACTTCCCATTCGAACTGTCTAGTGTTAAGGATTCTTGCTCCCATCCACTCAGGAATTTCCTTAAAAGGTTTGTTCCTCTTGATAATATCTGATGCTTGATAACTTTTCATTCAGCCTTGCCCTAGAACAGAATAACTCTTTTCCTTTGGCAAGCCTCAGGTATTTTCTATGATAGGACTGTGCAATAGAGCTTTTTCTATTTCAGACAACAGTTTTACATAACTGTTCATTCCTGCAGTCACACCTCATCATACTGTTCCCAAACGCTCCTGCCAACAGGCTTTCACTAATACGAGCTTCCTTTCCTAGGAACATCCACAATACACACGCAAGACATAAACAGAAAATTTTTTGTTGCAAAATATTTGCTGTATGAACTTGCTTATGTCTTTCTTAAAAACTCCAACGAGTCCTTAAGAAGCAAACCAGTACCATACAGTATTGACGGTAAAAATAAATGCTATCATAGTCACCGGTCAGGTTTCCAAGGGGAACATTTTACAAATCACTGCAAATGCTGGATTTTTTTTTTTTAGCCTGAACTAGTAATTCAATTCTTGCAAATAACCAACACATCAACGGAAAGGAGAGGAGATAATGAATAATTCATAAAAATGAAAAAGAGCTAAATTTATCAGGTGATTAAGTCTCAACAAATATTTAGACTAATTTTAAATTAATGTTCATGGTTATGAATTCAAACACAGTGAAGCCAGGAAGTTGCAACTAATGTTCCCATAGTGAAATTAACTCAGGAATGCTTACAGATTTAAACAGTATGTTTTAGATTATATACCACACTTAGGTATTTATACAGATTTACATATGTCTTGAAAATAATTGTGGTTAACAAGCTCTGACAATCATCATTATCTGTTAACCATTTCATTGCCGGCCGTCGCTATGACTCTTAGCAGCGCAATCAGGCTGCGATCAGCAGAAGTTACCAACTCCCGGGGAACCGTCGCTGCCACCTTTCCCAGGAGGAAGCACCCTGTGCAGTAGCTGGGAACTTCGTGGGCGAGAAGCTCCCTCGTGTGGAAATCTATAGTTTTGCAGAAGAACACAGATGACTGATGCTAACTTGCTACTCTGGCTAGTTTCACATCGGTGTCGTTCTATTAAATGCAGTCCTTTCACTCCTGACTTACTCTGCTGCAGATTGAGGAAGAGAGCCAGATTTGTATATTAATTTCTCTCTTTGAATCCCTTTGCCATCTTAGATAGAAGTGACCATTATATCCAGCAGTCTTGGGTCTCACGCAAAGCCGTGCTCTTGCACTATTGTTGAGTTGTGTGTGTCTGAACACCCGGTGGAACGCAGTGTGCGGTGAGATCAGGCGGTTCCCTGCCATCTGCCCCCCTCCCTCTGCGATTGCCAGCCGACTTATGACCCCCGACAAAGCCAAAGGCATCTTTGAAGCAAATGTGTCCCACCACCACTGAAGTTAATACAGAATAGGGTCTTATTTACCTGCAGGGCTGAATTTGCCTGTGAGTGTCCACACACATACCTAGTAGGTAAGCAATATATGCATATATATATATATATATTTTTTTTTTTTTTTATATTGCAACCAGATGATAGTACTGCACTTCCTGAGCTTAGTGACTTTGTTGCCATTGAGTGTGTTAGTACAACTTTTTTTTTCTTTTTTTAATTGTAATGCCTGCGTATGTGTAGGAGTATGTTTGAATGCCTCTGTTTACACCAGGAAGCAGCTTCTGGGACATACCGGAGCAGGTTCAGTCCCTGGATAAAACAAAGCACTGGGGCTGGGATAGCTCTTGCCGGCCAGAACTTCCTCAGCAGCCTGCTTGACCTCGGTCCCACCCTTCAGCATCCTGGTAGAAATTCAGTGCCAATGCCAAAACTTTTTCAACTGAAAGTTCCTTCTTCTAAACCCCAGCTGCCATACGAGGGCAGGTATTTATCCTTAGCAAAGATGATGGAGTTCTGCATGGTATTATTAAATAAAAGCTAATGTGTACTAAGATCTTAAAAACCTGCAGCTCTAACTAGTAACTCTTTCTTGTTACTAGTAATGTGTTTCACATTATGGGAGCTACGTATGCTCTTCACAAATTTCACTTTTCCCGATTCCCCCAAGGGCTAGGAGTGGCTCTCCAAAGGAGAATTCAGTGTTCCCCAAAGGTGGGGACAGATATTCTCTAAAGCAGATTAATGTCCTAAACATCTAGAAAGAAATATTATTGTTTTAATGAAACAGAAATTTTACTTAATCCAGCCAAGCAAATAGTTTCACACTTGATCACTAGCCAAATTGTAAAGCTGTGTAGTATGCAATTTGTGTGTGCAGTAGATGGCAGCAACAGCTCATTAGTACAATATTTATCTTTCCACAGATCAGAAGATGTACCCAAACTGACCAAAGATCAACAGACCTTTAACCTCTAATTGATTTCTGCCCTTAACTGCAGGATTTTATTTTCTTTGCTTGATATTAAACCTTTGTCACACGATGTTAAGTTATCTTTATTGCCTGCAACTTACAGCTGATTTATTGGTGACTGATATTTTATGAGACCTGGTAGGTGCACGGGCAGAATCCAGTCTACCACAAAGTGAGCTCTTCTGTCAGCCCAAAATGTATTTTTTGCACCTGGAGCATCTCTCCAGCTTCTACAGG